TGCCATGCAGCACAGCCCCACTTTGCGCTGCTGACACAACGTGAATCCCAGAGCTGCGCCATCAAGACTTTGCTGAGGTGCGTCATCCCCACCTTAACAGCCTCTGCTGCGGAGGTGTTGGCATCGTTTCCCTGTTGGAAGGAGCTCACAGGGTTGGTGCAGGGCTGAGCTTGGCCATGGCTGTGCATTCCATGCACATGGCTCAGCTGCAGCTTTAACTTCAGCTCCACGGCTCCGTGGCACGGTGCTCCCATCCCAGCAGATCCTTGTGTCCGCTCTGCCACTTTCCCTCTCACATCTCATAATGGGATGCTTACAGCCCAGCGTTCTCTCTTTACAGGTGTTTCTCTCCTATTCCTGTGTGTTAATTGGTGAGCAGATTCCTGCTTTGCAGAACTGTATTTTGGTGTGGTTTCCTTATATCCTCGAGGAAGCATTAAGACAACAGGTTGATGGTGTGCAGCCCTGTCCTCTCCAGCATGTTCCTTCCCATGAGGGGGGCCACTGCTCCCCTGCTGCCCAGAACTGGAGATTTGTGGCCCACCAGCCCTGTGAATCCCGACCTGCTCTTTGACCTGCCTGCAATTAATCTACCCATCGTTATTTGAGCTCTGGAATCTTTTCCCCATTCATCTTGCCATTGTGATTTTTTTTTTTTTTTTTCAATGCAACTTTCTGCTCTCAGTGTGGGGGATTTCTCCATGCTTTTCTCAGCACTTTTGGCAGTGCTCTGCTCTGACTCCCCTGTTGCTTTGCATGTGAAAGCTGGTGGCCTTTGGCTCTCCCAGGGCTGTGCAGCCTGCTCTATGCATCGCCTTCCGCCCAACAGCTCCTCGAGGTTTCCTGGGTCCTGAGAAGCACGTGGGGTCAGCTTCCTCCCTTGCATTTAAGCATATGAAATTGTATTTTAGCCAAGAAGGCAGTGCTGTTAGTGGGAGGATTTTGCATATAGCGAAGGCTTCCTGGGCAGGGCTGGAATGTGGAGTGAGACCTCTGTACAAGTTTAAAATGCTGGGATGCTCTGCAAGCTTGATGCAATTATTCTCTGCGAATGGCCACCCGCATCTTTTGTAATGTGTCTGATTTATTTGTGTAAGTGATACCACAGCTGTAAAATGGTAACACCAAGCTCTCAACCACTGTGCTTTCAGTGTGAACTCTGCTGCACCAAGTGTGGTTTTGGTGGGTACTGTATGATGGCCCCTGGCAGCAAGGCTGAGTGCAGTCGCATTGGTGCTGGTGTGCCTGGAGAGCCGAGCTGGGAAAGAATCTGCAGAACAGAAAGAAGGGAATGCAGAAGGTGTACAGGGCTGGCAGTGACATAGAGCACGGGAGGAGGGCAGCCAGGGTGTCATCCCAGCTCTGCTCTCCATAGCAAAGAAACTTCTGCATGAAGTGTGATGACCTCCTTAAACTCGAGGTCCCCACTTGGGCTCTGCTTGCTGTACTCTAACTGCTGCTCGCTGGGGACTCTGCTAACCCTGCCAAGAGGGGCTGAGGAGTATTGCCTGGGCTCCAGCCACGTTCCCCCTGGCCCAGGCTGCTTTAATCTCCTCCAGCCTGCATCAGCAGCTTCTTTTGTCTGCTCCTTCAACTTGAATTCTTGCACAAAGCGTTCGAGTTGTTTGTATCATCAGTCTATGAGCAGGAAATACCAACGGAGGGTTGCGAGAATTTAGCAGCCTTGTGGATATTAAGAACAGAGCTGTGTGTGGGTGATGTCCTGCAGGCCATGCACGAGGAGTCACAGCCTCCAGCCTCACTGCCCTGGTCACCATTCATCTCTGGGCCATTGAACCACGTCTTCAGGCTCAGTTCTCATGTCTTGTAGTGAGTGCTAAGCTTGTAAAGGCATTGGGGTGGCAGTGGCCTTCTGTCTGTATGCACGCACCTCCAGGTGCTCTGCGGCACGGATCAGAGGCTGCAGATCTGCTCCTGAGGACTCAGGAAACGTGGAGTTGTTCTTTACGTCGGGCTTTGCTGCAGCTTGCTGCCCCATGCAGCTTTGTGAGTAAAGTTACAGGAAGGAATAAACGGAAAATAAGCAAGAGGACAAATATCCTCTGTTCAGAACTCTTTATCGTGACCTGAAGCGATGCGCTTTATTCAGCAGTTCTGGCAAACAGGAAGTTTTCTTTCAGAAGCTGCAGCATTTGCTGAATCATGGAGCAAGAGAAACGGAGTGCAAGAATTAGTTCCAACAGAACAGATTTTGCAGTTTTCAGAGCTCCTCTTATATCCTTCATGTTCAGTCTTAATTGCCTGTCCCACTGTACGCAGTGCTTGGGTTTTATACTCTGCTTCTCTCAGTGCTGTGTTTGCATTTCATAGATGAGAAAACAGAGGTCTGGAGGCAGAGCCTGTCCCAAGGCAGTGAGACACAGTGGGGACAAAACCCTCATGGCTCTCCGAGTCGCCCCCTGCATGCTGTCTTGCAGCACTCAAGGAGCATCGCAGTGCTTTTGGTGTTTGGGTCTCCTCTGCTTTGAAGAGGCCCCCAGCTGGGGCTGGCTGGGCAGTGTCCTTCGGTGCTCTCATCCCTGTGTCAAAAGCTCTGAGATGCCTACAGGAGTGATGTCATTTCCAACAAGCCTGAGGGCAGCTTGGCTGCAAGGAGTGCAGATCTGTTCTGCTTCAGTCAGGGGTGCCACAGGAGTTGTCTGTACACTGCTTCTGGTTGGAGGTTTTCTCTCTATATGTTTTCTCCATTGAGCTCAGGCTGTTTTCATGCTCTGCAGGAACTGCAGTGTCTTCCAGAAGTCAAGTTCCCATTCGAATGCCCTCTTTATGCAGACTGCAGTAGGAGTTATTTTCCTGTGTGTTGAGCTCTAAAATGAGAGGCTCAGGATCTCATTGTGCATCCATAGCAGTGGGTTGGAAGTTGGGTTGTGTGCAGGCAGGAGAACTTTGATTGCAGGGAACTTGGACTAGATGGCCCTCGAAGTCCCTTCCAGCTCTAAGGATTCTATGATTCTGTGAACTTGCTGGCTTCTACTGTAGACCTGATATTGAAGTATAAATAGTTCTCTTCTTAAATCCTTTCCATCTGAACTTTCTGGTTTGACCTTTCTTTGATAAGCTTTCTGTATTGGTGAGAATGAAAGTGCAGGAGGGTGAAGTGGGACAGGAAGGACACGTGGATCCCAGCAGATGTATCCCTTGGCACCCAGGCCTTGCTGCTGAGCCAGCTCCAGCTTGGGCTCCAGCTCCCAGTTATTTGAGTTCTGTGTTTCCCTCTAACACGTGAACCAGACCATGTCTGAGGAGGTTTTCTGGGAGTGCTTTTGCTTGCAGGGAGGCTGTGCTGTGCTGGGAGTTTGGACTGGAGCCCCCAGTAGCCCTCCTGGCTATACCCAAGCCTTCTGCCACTAGTTTTAACCATTAATTGCTGCTTTAAATCCAGAGTTAAATTGCCTGGGCAACCAGACTTCGTGAGCCCACTGCCAAAAATAAAGCAGGGTCTGAAAATGGCTCGGGTCCCTGCATGCTTCAGGACTGCCACAGCTGGATGGGGCACAAGCCCTTTGGAACTCCATCCTTTGGGTTTTGTGGTCTCATATCTTCAGGCTATCATGTGATCCATCACCCTTGGAGTGATGCATTGCGTTTGTGCGGAGATTTGCTGTTTGCTTCTGAAGTGCAGAATGGGGAGTGGGGCACAGGGATCCCCCGGCTCCTTGGCACACTGGATTCTGTGTCTTACTTCCCTATCCTCTTAGATAAAGCTTCCCTCAGGGGTGTTTCTCCTCCCAAGATGGCTTGTGGCCATCTCAGAACTCCATAGCCTTTCAGTAGGGCTGCTGGGTCAGGCATCACAGCTGGGACAGGCTTCCCAAATCCCACCTGAAATATGCTGGAGTGCAAGCGTGCTGCGTGACTTCTGTGTTTCCACTTGGTCTGTACAGCATCCCTGTTGGTTTGGTGCCTTTCCTGCTGCTTTTATAGACTGCAGTGTAGAGTTTTTCTGGCTGGGAGCCCCATAGTAATGGCTGTTATTGCAGAAAACCCACTGACTGCTCAGGCTGCCCCGTCCCAAACAATGAGTTGTGGTGATTACGTGCTGGGGAGGAAATGAAATGATCAGCAAAACCTACTTTGTAAAAAGCAATGGGTGACTTTATTTAAAAGCAATTACACTGGAGGTTAGTGGGTGCTGTTAATTCCTACCCTGAGTTAAAAAATGAAATGAAGGCGTCAAACGTGTTCAGTTAGGAGGAGTGTGATTGTCCAGGCTTATAAATATAAGTCTTGAGGAGAGAAAGTTTAAAGCAGTCCAACACAGATGGACTGATGAGTTGTTGTGTTTGGGAAGGTGAGAGGTCTGTTTTCATTGGAGATTGTTGCTTTGGGTTCCTGTGCCCTTCCCTGGGGCAGCACTGATGCAGAGAGCTCAACCAAGAGCAGCGCTGGCATCTTGTGCGTGTTGCTCCAGTATTCTAAATGGGACACCTTGGAGGGGTTGGAGAGGAGATTGATACTGCAGTCCTTGTGTTTGACTTCTGAAAAGGGAGGGAAGTGCTTGGGGACCTCCTGCTTCTCATAGGGGCTGCTGGCAGTGATTGTTGGGCAGTGTGAAATCGGCGTGGGTGCCTGCTGGTGACCAGCAGTGGGCTGTGCATCCCACCGCTGCAGACTTGCACCCTGGTAGCTCTTGGTATGGGGGGAAGGCTTCCTCAATCCGTGGCCCCTTCAGAGTTAGTGTGAGTTAGTGATGTCTGGTGGCTTACCTTATCTACTGGTTAACCTGAGCGTTCCACTGAGGATGGTTTTTGGTGAGCACATGTGGCTGCAAGACATCTCTTGGAGGACATGGGAGCTCTGATTCAGAGCCCAGGGTGTCTGAGCTGTGTGCTCTGTGACGCTCACCCACGCTGTGCTGTCTGTTCTCTGTGTCACTGCCCCATAACCATCTCAATGTGAGAGCTCTGCTGATGCCTTTTCTTGCAGTCTGTCCATTTGCTGTATGCCTAAGTGTTCCCTGTACGTTTTCTGTCTTGCAGCATCTGGAGAGGGCCAAATGTGAACTGCGTTGACAGTACTGGATACACTCCACTGCACCATGCTGCTTTGAATGGTCATAAGTGAGTCATTTACACTGCCTTTGATTGTAAGGGGTGCTGTGTGCTTTACAAGCTGCAGTTTGTTCATGCATTCACCACTCTGATGCTGTTGCCTCTGAAAATGTGGCGATGGTGCAACACTACACCATCTTCAGGACAAGCAAAGAACATCAGTGCAGCAAAGCTTAGAGGTGTTCTGTGCTGCGTTGTCTGTCTATCTTTTCAACAGTTTGCTAGAACGTGGAAGTTTTCAACCACCCTTTTATTTACAAGCAATTTGGTTAAGATATAACAAGACGTTAAAGATGGCTTTTCCAGTAACAGTCCTCTGCAGTCTGTCTGGTGTCCAGTGTGTTGCTGTGCCTGCACCACCTGAAATTTGCTTTTGTGTGTAATTACATTTTTAAATAACTCTGGTCTTCATTGTGGTAGATCCTGTATTGTTCACTGCTACTTCAGATGCTGAGAAATTGAATAGAAGTCCTTATTCATCCTCCTTGTGCTGGTGCAGTGACTCCAGTCCCTATTCAGCTCAGATAGAACGAAGATAACACAGATCTTCCCTGAACTTATCTCAGCATTCTTTCTTTGGGCATCATTTAGTAGGAATGTTATAAAATCACATTCCAAGAGGATCTCTGAAATACTTTTTTCAGATGATTTTTTTTTTTTTTTTTTTTTGATAAAACAGTGCAGACTGTGAGACAGAGACTGAATGCCTCACAGACCCAAATCTTCTCTTGCAGGGATGTGGTGGAAGTCCTCTTGAGGAACGACGCGCTCACCAACGTGGCAGACTGTAAGGGCTGCTACCCCCTGCACCTGGCAGCTTGGAAAGGAGATGCAGACATAGTGAAGCTCCTCATCCACCAGGGACCTTCGCATACTAAAGTGAATGAGCAGGTCTGCCTGTTTTTCTCTAATATTCCTTTGAGCTGATTTTCTCAGATGGAGGAAGACCCCTTGAACTGACTCCTGGCCCTCTCCAGCTGGCAGCAGTTGTTACAGAGTTAATTGCTAGTGGGGGGGAGGGCAGTGCCTAAAGCAATTCCTCCTGTTCTGAGCTATGAATGAATGAGGTGTACATACATTAACCTATAGAGAGAGAGATAAACGTGTACTGAGAGCCCCTCCGCACCTAGGAAGTAGTCTCCTGCTTTCACGCTGAGCTTCTGAAACTAACACAGGTTTTCCTTTCAGTTGCTGGATAACTGAGAAGTTTTCTAGTTTTGTCCCAGGATACGTTGGCTCCCTTCTTTTGGGAACTAATCAAAGCAGCTTTTAGTCTTCGTTTGGCCATGCTATCTTAGCTACTCTCCTGGCTTGTCTCTAGCACTTGCTCCAGTTAACTAATTTGTAAGTGGTGAGATAATTTTAGCCTATGGTGACCCCAGATAAATTCCCTGCTTAATCTTTATTTTTTTTCTCAATCAGAAAAGGGAAGAACAAAATGAATATGGATTGTGGGAAGTCCCACCCATTTCTTTTGCTTAAGACTTTGGATAAAGGAGCTGGTTTGCTGAGTGATGCTGGCTGAGCATTGACACTGGGCCATCTGTGGTTCTGCACCGTGCCTTGGGCAGATGTGCAGTAACACATTCCCATGAGATGGTTAAAGCTGCAGTGGCTTTTGGTTGTCCCCTCCCTGGGCAGGGGTGCCCAGTGTCCTTGTGAACCAACTCCTTCCTGCTGGGATTTTCATCCAGCTGGAGGCAAGTAAACCCAAACAAGGTTGTCTGCCTTCGTGCCATAAGGTTAAACACACACTTTCATACAGAAGTGAATTCATAATGAGGTCATACACTCCCAGCTCAGGTTTAGCAGAATCCATCTGAGCTGAAATGACTGAGAGCTGTGAGTTTCTGCTGTTTAATTTTGATCTGCTCTCTGTACTTTTTCAGAAGCTGAGGAACAAAATCCTCTTCACAGAGTTGGGGTTGGGAGCCCCAGTCCTGCTTCTAGCCACGCTTTGTGGGGACAAAGTTCTCCTGCCTGAGCATGCAGTTCCTCAATGTAAAGCAGTTGATGTGATGCACCAGCTGTTGCAAGGCTAAGTGGCTGCTTCTAAAGCATCGTGAAACAAAAAACACAGTGCCAATGCTAATCACCACCACTCCTCAACTGAGCAGGAGTAACTGTGTTTTACTGTTTTGGACAGTTTTCAAGCTCAGGGCTGTGCACAGTAATGCCTTTGGGCACAGCTGCAGGTGTTCAGTCTTTCAAAACAGTGAGGAGTGCAGTAAACTGTTCACAGTCAATCTGATAAAAACTGACTGAGGGCCCTGAGTGGGAGCACAGCAGGACAGGTGTAAGGCAAACCTTTGCAAAAGCCCAGTGTTATCCTTCCAGGTAATGTTTCATTAATGTTTGTTTAGTAGGAATCCTTTTGAACAATGAAAATCAGTCAAATAACTTGTGCTGCCTGAGTCTGGAGCCTTGTAAAGAAACAGTGGTTCAGGTTACAGGAATCAGCTGCTGGAATGGCTTCTGCTGTTAATAGCTCTGACTGGAACAAGATGCTGTGTTCTGTCATTTCCACCCCTTGGGAGTCACCCATTGCTTTATTGCTCAATCTCACCCATTTCATTATCACATTTTTGTTCTTTTTCCTCTTCCTTTTTGTAGAATGCTCTTGAGATCAAAGAACTCAAAAAGTACGGCCCCTTTGACCCATATATCAATGCCAAGGTGTGTACTTTGCTGTCAGCATTTCACTGCATCATTACTCCAAGCTGCACTCGCGTGCTTTCAGGTGCAATGTCATCCAGTTGCAATAATACCTGTTCAGTTTGCAGCTGCTTGGGGAGAAGTAAAATGCAACCATTTATTTACTCTGGGTTTCTTTCTTCAAAGCAGTTATAGAAACATAATTTAAGGGAAGCTTTTCCTTACTTTCCTGGGGGCTCCTTCATTGCTTAGCCTTGTAGGACTCACGGTGATGGTCAGTTTGCTTGGTTTGGCTGGATGACTTCCAAAAGGTAAAGTAATTTCAACTCACATGCTCTAGGTATTGTTTCACGTGCTAATGTCGCATTTATCAATGCAAAGAGAAGGATTTTTTTTTTTTCCTGCTTAAACATGGATGCATTTTCTGTGGGCTGTTTGGAGTGAACTTCATGCCTTCTCTCCTACAAAACGCATAATGCTGTGTGTGTTTGAATGGACGGTGAATTCTTTCCGTGGTGGTGGGGAGAAGGGAAGGTAGTAACATTGATACCTCCCTTCCTGAGCCCTCCGTGTCCTGCTTATTGCTTCAGTCTCTTTTTTGGTGTTAAGTCTGTGTTGTCTGACCCTTCAGCCCTGGTTTTCTGTTCCTGTTCTCCTGCCTGTTTTGCCCTTCTTTTGCTTTTAGCTCTTGAACTACAAAGAGGCACGACGTCAGCACTTACGATGCACTGCAGCTGAGCAATCGAGGAAGCAGATCAGAAAGTTCCTGGGGTCACTTGTTGTGTCTGTCAGACGGTGGTGTTTTCTCAGGCACTCCCCCATTTCTCATTTCTATTTATAATGAAGCAGCAGACGCCAGTGATGGCATAAAGCTGCTGCTTTATCACAGGATGCTTCTGCTGTCAGCCTCCACACCACGCTTGCTTCCAGCCAGCTGCCTGGGACTCAGCCATCCATGGCAGATCTCTCTCTCAAAGTTCACTTGGGACTTTCGTTCTGCTTGATCCGCACTACCTTTAAAAACACATCCAAAATTCCTGAGCTTGCTAACCACTGGGAATGATGTTTGTTTTTGTAGCTTCTATTTCAGGAGATACTTTAGCACGTACTTCTTGGAGCAAAAATATACCTACGTGAAACTTGTCCTTATCTGTGATTTGGACAAAAATCCAGCTGGGAATTTTACAGCAATAAATATCCTTTGTGGAAACGTATCCCAGTTGAGTTCAGCTGGCTGAAGGGGAGCTCTCCAAATTACTGTCAGTAATGCAGTGAAACCTTATATGCTAGCAGTAAATTTTTGAGTGAGGAAGGAGTACAAACCTCAAATTGGGCGAGCTTTCTTGTGGAATGTTTATTAAGTATTCTATCTTAAATTAATTTTCTTTTGGCTGTGTTCAGGATGTCTGTAGCACTCTTGCAAGCAAGGCTGGGGCTTTGCAATCTTTGGTTTTAAGGAGAGAGAGAGAAATGACTCACAGCACACGTTAGGTCCATCTGAAGTTGTGACCAGCTTACCACTGGTTCCTGGCCTGGTGTGATGAAGTCCAAGCAGAGCTGCATCTCACATACTCACCTTGATGTTTTCTCAGTAGCTTGGCTGCAGGTGGGAGAGCCAAAGAAAGTCCAAGAGCAAAGTAAGGAGTCCTTGCTTGGCTTGTGCTTTCAGCTTCCCAGCTCCCACGCAGGATGGGATTTGATATAGAAGCAATCAAAGCAAGATGTCTCCTTTTTCCAAGCATGTGGGATATTTTCAAGAGGGGAAAAGTGTTTCTATAAGGTTGGATTACAGATTAAATTGTTACCCTGATCAGGAAGAGGTAAGAGAGCCAGAAGCTTCGTTTTCCCGAAAGCTTCTTTTTGTACCCCTTCCTTTTCAATATCTTTTAAATAAATAGCCCTTCCAGCCCATCTGTATGGGCCATAGAGACTTCTGAAACAGGAATGATAGAAGCCAAGTGAAGAGATGGAGCTGCAGCTTTGTTCCTGTGACTCCTGCCTTAAATTGGGCTCTCCAATTGGGATGAAGGTACCCACCCAGTTGAGCAAAGCCTGTGTAGAAAAAGCTGTCACGTAGCCCAAGGAGGAATAAACTGCACAACCTATCTTTGTCTTTCTTAATTGGCTGCAAATGATTCATGCAGATTGGGTTTAAAGCGCTATAAATCTAAATGTTGTGCTGAGAGCCCAGCATCTGCAGCCTGCGGATGAAAGCGGGCAGCACGGCCACCTGCAGAGCTTCTGAGGGCTTGTTGGGCAGATGGGGGTCGTTTCTTCTGAAATGGTGTTGGTGTTGGCGGGCACCTGTGGGAGCAAAGGAGCCTCTTCATCCCTGCTCTGCTGAGGGCAGAGCCCTGAGGGACGACTGGAGGTCTTGCAATCTGATCTGTTGTGGATCTAGCAGCTGGCAGCCCTGCTGTGGCAGGGGGATGGAACCTGGTGGTCCTTGAGGTCCCTTCCAACCCAAAGCATTCAGTGATTCTTTTCCCCACCCCAAGGCAGAGTTGTGTCTACTAAACCATTTTTGCCTGGCATTCACAACAGCTCCTCCAAAAGCTCAGAGCAGCATTGCCAAGCTTTGCCTTGGTGTAAGTGTTCAAACCTTTGCAGGTTAGAAAATTAAAAAAAAAAAAAACACAAACTTTTCCACTTAATTTAAGAAAGAAAGATGTGATTTAGATCGAAGCCCTCCTACAGAGTGTTAGGAACAGGAGTGCAGATGCTCTTGACTGAGCTGGAGGTGCTCTGCAGCAAGGTGTGATGAGGAGCATAAGGGCAGTAGTATGTGATATCTGATTACCAGGGCTTGAGAAATGTGATGGAACCCATATGAGAGCAGAGGCATTCCTGCTGCTGTTCCCATTTTGTTGTCTGCAGGCAGGCATCAGCCAAGGCCCAGCTTCCCACTCCTGGCTGCAATTAAGGGGGGTGCTTGGATTCCTGCAGGAGTGCTGCCCCTGGGTCCTATAGAGCGCTCTGTTTTTTTCCTAAGGAGTTTTGAAATTTGAATCCACGTGCCTTCTGGCTGCTGGGAAGGCATTTTCTTTTTCCATCTCAGATAAATGCATACATCGGAGTGCTTGTGCCTGTTTTTAGGCTCTGCTTGGGGTTGGGGCACACTCCTTTGTCTGGAACAGTTCAGGTATTTGGGGCTCCTCCAAGGTCACTCAAAACAGGAGCAGTGCAGAGTCATGCGATAGCTGGAGTTCCTGTGATGGGGAAGGACTTGCTGTAATGGTGCAGAGCATCTTACCACCTGGTGGCTGTGCTACAGGAGGATGGCCTGGGGATTTCATCCCGGTTTTATGGATGGGATTTTGTCCAGAGCACCAGTGCCCTGAGCTGTTTAGAGAAAATGAGACTCAATTGCAGCAAACTTCAATAACTGTACTCTCAGAGGAAGCTGTATGCCTGTTTTGGAGCTGCCAAGCAGATGTTCAGGATTTGCAGAGTGCTTTAAAGCACACCCTTGGCAGATATGGTCTGGGTGGCAGGGGAGGATGGGCAGTGCTGGTGGTGGAACAAGCAGAGCTGTGCACCCCCCATTCGGCTCTGTAGGCACACAGCTGCAGCTCCAGGAGGGCTCACAACATCCAGGTTCCCTTCCCTGCCCACCACATAACAGGATCTCCCATCCATCTAAATGAACTCGAGACCAGCACTGTAGGAGCGTTAGGCGTGATCTCTGTAGCTCTCTATTCTCTCCCCTTCTCACTCTGTATGTGTATTTTATGTGCAGACTTCTTTATTCTCCAGTAACTTCTGTCCACATGTATGTGCGTTCCTTCACCATGGCTGCCTCTGCCTCTCCAAGTATCGAGCCTGTTCTTTGTCTGTGACCTCCTGTGCTAACAGTGATGCCCTGCTTTGCTTACCTTCCAAAATATCTCTCTCTGCATGTGGCTGTGCCCTGCCTCCTTGCTTTGTGCTTTGATGCTGGTTGCAGCCTCTCCACGTCTCGCTTCCCTTCTGCTCTTCCCCTGGCTGTCAAATGATGCGAAGCAGAATAAAACAGAGTGGGAATTTGCATGCTGTGCCTCCTGTAATCCCTGGAACGATATAACACATCCATAGGATTAAAGTGCAGCAAAGCAAGCTCTGCAGCATGCTTGTGAAATGGTGCAAAATATTGACCGCTCCTATAGGGCAGTATTAAAAAAAAAAAGCCACAAAAGAGGTGGTTTTGCTCTCAAAGCATCAATGGAGGTTCTGGTCAAATTCATTTTCTAAAGTAGACTTTCTAGCTAAGACACCGTGTTATTAATTTGTTCTTAAAGTGACAGAGTTCTCTCAGCTGAGGCTTAAATGTGGTACACTTGTGCTGAAGTCACTTGGGGTCAAATAATTGCATACATGTTTACACCCTTAACTTAGTCCTTTAGTCCCTGAACTGAAACTTCTCTGTGTATAATTACACAGGAATGAAACTGGAAGCTTGAGATGAACTTAGTTTGAAAGAGGAAAAAAAAAAAAAGACAAGACCCTTAAATCTGGCAACGTTCCTATTTTGCACCTGGAAATGAAACGTGGGGTTGCTCATCTCAGCACTTTGCTGATTGTAACTTGCCCAGCGCTGCATGCCTTAGTTGGGTCTGGCTTTCATGTGCTGCTCCAATGTTTCTTCCCTCCAGTTGACCTGAGACCTTGATGATGAGGGCTTGTTAGTGGAACAGCCCAGTGGCACTGTTTGCTAAACTCCTAATTTGCAAACTGCACGCAGCTGCATGCACTCTTTCTCTAAAATGGCCAGCTTGCAAGCTTCAGAACTGCAGAGGCTGTTAGGATAAGTAGGATTGAAACAATTGAAGTTTAAATCTGAAATGATGACAAGTGACAGCAGATAGAGTTCATGGTGCAGTTGGTGTGGCATGTACTGCAGTCTTTTATTTTGGTGGCACCCCAAAGTAAGGGATGCTGCCAGCTAATAACAGACTGCTTTCCCAAGGGCCAGAGGAATTAATGGCCATCCAGATACAGCACGACAATCCCTTAAGCTTCAGTGTGGGCTCTTCCTTTGGGTTTCCATGCTCTGAAAACAGGCTACTCCATCTAGAGCACCAATTCCCACAGAGCAGATTCCTCACATCTGAGCGAAGCTCAGTTGTTCTGAATGGTTTTGAAGCTTTGCTGGGTGGGTCACTGGGTGAGCTCCTCAGGGGATGTCTGTGCCTGGTACTGGCATGGTGAAAGCACTGCTCCAGGCTCCAGTTCAAACCGGGCTCTTTGCTTCCTGACTGCTTTTTGGCTTGTTTTTGCATTTAAACTTCAATGGTTTGAGCGAGGCACGGCGCAGCTCTGCTTTCCCAATTCTGACATGTTGGCCTTTCTGACCCCCCCCCAGAACAATGACAACGAGACAGCACTGCACTGCGCCGCGCAGTACGGCCACACCGAGGTGGTGAAGGTCCTCCTGGAGGAGCTCACCGACCCCACCATGCGTAACAACAAGTTTGAGACCCCCCTGGACCTAGCCGCTCTCTACGGGAGGCTGGAGGTTGTGAAGATGCTGCTGAACGCTCACCCCAATCTTTTAAGCTGCAACACAAAGAAACACACTCCCCTGCACTTGGCGGCGAGGAACGGTCACAAAACCGTAGTCCACGTCCTCCTGGATGCTGGCATGGATAGCAACTATCAGGTATCTGGGGTGGGGGGTGTGAGGGGCTGCTCTGGCTGCTGGGAGCCTTGTGGTTGTGAGGAGGGCTCCTCGTCCTCCATAGGGATCCTGTGTGGGAGAGGAGTGTTGGCTTTGGGTTCCTCCAGGCTGCTTGTTCAGCTCGTTCCTCTGGGAGGCCGCTCAGAGGAATCCTGGTGCAGTGCATGCTTGGTGCTTGCTCGTTAGTTGGGTGAAGAGCCACAGATGCATAGCGAGGGAGGAAAACTCCTCTGCCTACGCTGTTCTGCACTGCAAGACTGTGAGCTCTCAGTAGAGTGGAAGCAAACCATTTCCTTTCCAGCACGTGACCTTCTTCTAAGCTTTAGAAAGCCTTCTCTTGGTCGCTAACTCTGAGCCTGCATCTCTTTGCAAAGAGGCAGTCTCCATTTTCTGCTCCGAATTCTCAGTGTTGTAATAATGTCAATACTTTGTCCTCTTTGTATACGATGCAGCGTATTTATTGCTTCTGTAACCTTCTGAAAGTTCCTCCATCAGCACTCCCCCCATCTAGCTTCATGCTATTTTTCATTTAATTTGCAGACTGAAAAAGGCAGTGCTTTGCACGAAGCTGCTTTGTTTGGCAAGACAGATGTGGTACAAATATTGCTGGCTGCAGGTGAGAGAATGATCCCATTCTGAAACAATGACGTGGTGAGCCCTTCACCCACAACCCGAGGAAAGCCCTCTTTAGTGACAGCACTTTTCTCCAATCAGTTACCAAAGTGCTGTTCCTCAGGGGGAGTTACAGGAGAGGTTATCCCTTGGCATCTGGCTTTAGGTTTGCTTCTACTGAGCATTTTTTAGCTCCGCCCAGTGATGAACATGTGCGAGCTGTGACTTGATTAAAGGTGTAAATCTGTGCTTGTTCGAAAATGTTCTTGCTTTTGCCTCCTCTATACCTACTGCTATAGGTATTGATGTGAACATAAAGGATAACAGAGGCCTGACGGCTCTGGATATCGTGAGGGAGCTTCCTTCTCAGAAAAGTCAACATATAGCAGCTCTCATTGAAGGTAAGCAGCAATGTGGGGGCAGGAGGGAAGAGTTTAGAGTGCAAATTGTGCCTGTGCAGGTACAAGGTGAGGGCCTCGTGTGCTGGAAAGTGTTGAACACAATGGAGCTGCAAGTCAGTGAGAATCTTCAGGGTGTGGGAAGAAACGACGCTGCACTGCTCAGGTGGACGGTGTCTGCAGCAGGGGTTGGCAGGAGGACTTCCAGGAGTGGATTGAAGGGGGATTAACTTCTTTGCTGGAAGAGCGAGGCATCACTTTTACAATTTAAATGGGCTTAATTGAGCTTTGTTCAACTCGCTTTATAAGTAAATTAAAATTAAGGGTAGCCTAAATCTGCTTGCAGAATGCAAAGTAATAGCTTTAGATATGGTTTTGGATTAAGTCTGTTTTATGTGTCTGTAGGCAAATAGTCACCCACTGATCCCACCTCCTGCTCCTTGCTTCACTGTGAAGCTTGGGCATGGATTTCTGCAGATGAGATTTCCAGAAGAGAACCTTGATTACTTGTGGTTTAGAAAAGATCTTGGCCCTTTGTATCTGCCCACATTAGGGAATGAAGTGTGGCATGTTAGCTCAACTCCTACCTTGTAATTACATTATCTCAATTTCCTGTCAGCTGTGGGGAGAAAGATCAGAAGTGTATGCAACTGATGTGTATTATTCCTGCTCAGCATTTGAGAGCTCTACAGGTTCAAAGCTCTTTGTGGACTTTTAATTAAGCTTTGTCTGTGAGCGGGTTGGGATCATCTCTGTACTGAAACTGAAGACATAGATGGGCTTTAAAACTGAACCTCTTGCAGGTAAATGCTGATAGTTTGCTCCTGTAAGTGAGCTGTGTGAGATGGTGCTGTCTGATTTCATTCATGCAAGCTTACTATTTCTGACTTGGTCTGTGGTTTGGGGACTGCAGCTAGAACTAGCTTCTCTGCTGCTTTATGACCCCAGAAGACCAGACTGCATCTGTTTAGTGCTGCAGCCTGTGCTCAGAGCATCAAGTCATCTGCTCCTTCAAGTTATGTCGCTCCAGGAGCTTTGCAGCTTTCTGATTAAAGCGTCTGTAGAAGTTCAAAGGATCCTTCTTAACCTTGTGCATGTGATTAAAGAGGTCGACTGGTTCTATTTCAGGATCTGAGCTGCGAGTTTCAGTAATGTCCTTTGGTTATTTTTTTTGGAGACTTAATGCTGACAGTTGGTCTCCCATCCACAAGGGAGAAAATCCCATCTGCTGAAGATAAAGCTAGATGGCCAGAAACTGATCCTTGTTGTTGCCCCACCTCGTTGCAGATTACACGACTGGGAAGAAAAGTGCCAAAGCTGCAGACAAGACAGCGCAGGCACCGCCTGCTCCAAGCACCGACCCTGCGTGCTGGATCCCTCAGGGTAGGTTCTATGCACCCCAGAGGCCACTGCCACTCCTGCTCCTGCCAACACTGACCTTCAGAGGATGGAGACCACCAGTGATGCTCTTCTTTCCTCCCTTCCTCTCACAGGTGATGTGGAGAAAGCAGTGACAGAGCTGATCATAGACTTTGATGTGAACCCAGAAGAGGAAAGCCCATATGAAGCTTTGTACAACGCAACGTCCTGTCACTCCCTGGACAGCCTTGCCAGTGGGAAGTCTTCAGACAGAGAGTCTGTGAATAAGGAAGTGGAAGCAGCTGGCCTTAAAGCAGCAGGAGTCAGGCCTGTATGTAGCTGTGTGCTTGCCTTAGAAAGATAACTTCTCTCTTGCCATGATTGCGCAGCAGGCTGTGCCAATTCCTCAGCTTGAAGAAATCTTGAAAGCTACCCCTGGCATTGCTCAGAGCAGGCAGGTGCCTCTGCTTTCTGTGCCTGTTCACGTGGCCCACATCTGTGTTAGAACTGAGGTTATTTCTTCTCATCAGCCACTTTCGACACAGGGCAACACAAGTAGGTCACTGTTACTCATATCTCCATTCCTGCACGGCACGCGGTCATTTTGGTGTGCCTGGTTTTACCCAGCATTGCGCCCTTATGTTTTCTGACAGTCTCTGTGAGTTTTGGTTTGTCAGAATATTACCTGAAGGGCAACCTTATTACCTAGAAAAAGCTTTGGAAACTTCTGTGTAGCATTTCTCTTTTGCTTTGCCCAAGAGAAGGTTCTTGAGAAATCACCTTTAGGAATATCCTGCAGTAAACTAGCAGCAAAAATATGTTCTGTGTATTACTTGCAGAGATCTGTAGAGGGTACTCAAGGCTTTACAAGGCAACACAAAGCTCCTGGAACTATCTTCTCTTCCTCACCTTCTGTTAGTTGCATCTGCTGCCTCCTTAGCAATCATGGTGATGCTGCTCTGGGGCAGATGGGAAGCTGGCCTTGCAGCATGCTGTGTCAGCTTCAGGCTTTGTTTCCATAGAAAAGGCTTTGCAAAAACAACCTGAATTTTTGGACAAAGGGCAAAGCAGCAATGGCCAATTGCACTGTGGGTGGCACTGTACCCATGCTTCCTCTCCCTCTGTGAAGAGGTGCATCCCTTTCCCTGCAGTTTGCAAATGTAGCAGAAATGAAACAAAGCCTTCAGAAGGTGGACGTTTTGTCCAGATGTCTTGTTTAGTGAATGCAGTACAAGATGCAGGTGCTGTTTATCAAACTAGATGTTTATGGTGTTTATCCATCTGAGTACTGTCCTGTGTTGATAGTGGCTGATGTGAAGTAAGCTCAGCTCTATCAGACGAGATGAGAGGCTGAACTGCAGTGAGAAGGGAGAAGAAGGAGGGAGTTGCTTTAGGAGCTTTCTGGAGTTTGGTCGGGCCTTTTGCAATGAGCACTTTCTATTTCAATTAGCCATTAGATGGAGCTGTTGCAGGGCAGGAGCTGAGACCTCTTTAGCTCTGTGTCGAGACAAGACAGTGCAGCTCTAACTGCCTGCGGGCAATCTTGGGATATTTGAGGAATGCAGTGCAGTGCTGTCTCCTGGATCTCCAGAGTTTTTCATTAAAAAGATGCTTCTGGAATCACTTATTCCTGTTACTGCTTCATTAAGACACAAGTGAGTAGCAGCACAATGAGAAGTCCCTTTCTACACATCATAATGAGTTCATTATTGATCTTATCCGTGCAGTGCTCTGCTCTAGAGATACCAGTCTGGATCTGAATGAACTGGCTTAATTAACGAAACAAACCTGTGTCAACACCACCTCCCACCTCAGCATGGTCGATGCTCCTGTGGGTCTGAGCTGTTGTGCACTTACTGCTCTGGAATGAGAGGTGTGCATGATCAGTGGTGGCCCTTGCAGTGTGCTGCAGTTGGTCCCTGTACACAAAGGGCTCTGCCCGAGCTGGTGTCCTGCTGGAGCGGGGAGGGAAGGCAGCACTGGGAGCTCTGTGCTGCTGGGATTCATCATCTGCTCTGCTCAAATTAATGTGAGGAGGTGCTCAGCACGCTGTGCTCCCAGCAGTGTGGCTGTAGTGTCAGGAAGCAGAAGGGGATGGACTTTACCACAGGGATTGACGGTGGTCTTCTGAACTGCAGAGAGAGCGTCCACCCCCCCCTGCTAAACCACCGCCTGATGAAGAAGAGGAGCAGCACACGGAGAAGATGGGCCATGGTGCTTCCTGTGAGGTATGTGAGGCTGCAGCTGGATTGCTTTGCCGCAACGAGGCTTAAAGACCAGCTCTATGATCATTTGGATTTGGGTGGAAGCAGTTGTAATATTGCTTTCCTTGCATATTGAGTCGGGAAGTGTTTTCTTATTATTATTCCAGCACTGCTGCTATCACTTGCCATGGGAACTTCCTTTGTGTGGTTCTTCCAGGGCACCTCTGTTTTGACCTTCAGCCTTGCTTTCCTATTCTTGGCTGGGAACTCCCATAGGAAGAGATTTTTCTGAATCACATTGGGATGTGGACTGTTGCCCGCCTGTAATGATCCCACTGAATACTTCTGCACCCTCTGGGCTTCAGTCTCAAGTGTTAGTTCCTGCTTCCTCTGTGCTTCCAGCTGTGCAGGGGATGTGTGGGCTCGTTGGTCCCACTGACGTGAGCAGGGCTCAGGGTCTTGAATTCAGCCAAGGTTCTGGCCCAGCATATGATAAAGCTGTCTTCTGCAGAGGTCAGTGGGTGGGAGCTGCTTTTTGATTAGAGCTCTCTTATTCTGTGTTCTTGCTCCTGGGCTTCCTATGGCTCATTTTTTATTCACTAGCCTATGAACCTCAGATCTGAGGGCTCTCTGGGAGCACTCAGTGTAAGGACAGGAAACCACAAATGTCTTGGAAATCTCTGTTGGCACCCAGGAAGTCAATGCAAACACAAATCTTGAGGATTTCCTTTTCCAAATTCAATGAGGTGCATGTGAAACTAATGAAGTGTCTGCTGCCTTTGGCTGTTGGAGCAGACTCCAGTTCAGCAGAGCCTTTGCTTTGCATGTGTTGATGTGCTGAAGTTCCTATGAGACATAAATGCAATCTGTTTTCTGAAGTATGTCAAGTCTACACAGGATAGAAGTAAATGCGATGTGCTGTAATAGGACTGACTTTACATAGAGTGGAACAGCAACCAGTGCACAAACAGCAGGACTGGGATGCCAAATTGTGGACTCCACTGCAGTTGTTTTCCAGCATATGATAAGCAGAGAGGAGAGCTGGCTGGCAGGTCGTGGTACAACTGAAAAGCAGGACTTGTTTATGGCAGTAAAAATGAGGGAAGCATGCATTGGCTGCTCCTGCTGAGTTACTTTGCCATATTTAATTACAAAGCACCTGCTATCCTGCCATTGAAGGCTTTGGAAATGTGGTCCATTAAAGGAAGTCCTGCTGCCAATTACTTGTGCACAAAGTGACTCACTAGGGAAATCTTGATTTGTTTTATTGATAAGAAGTGCACACAGTGAGTGTAGCTGCATGGCAGTGGCCTTTCAGATCTACCCAGAAGGCAGTTTGGGTGCAATTGATTGGTTGGTGGTTGTATTTTTTACATGTTCTCTCTGTGTTGGGCAGGCACCAACAGGAATGAGCTTAGGGATTGCTGTAAGCTTCTCAGAGCAGCATCCCGATCGCCCATTTCAGAACATGTTCTCACATTGGGGCCAGGGCACTTAGTCATCCAATGCTGTGGGGTTGGGCCAAACTGTGCTCTTAAAAGCAGTCCTTTTGTTCCGTTGCCAGGATGGGGCTATCAGTCAAAGCAGATGTGCATAAACAAGAAACTGAACTTCCATTGTGGAAAAACATTAAGTATAAACAGGCAACAGAGCTGATTGTGTGGAAGGTGCCCGAGTGCCCTCCTTCCCTATCAGCAGAAACCTTCTGGGTTTGTGGCTGAAAAAAGGTTCTGTGTTGTCAAATTAAACTTCAGTTTCATTTCTTTGCTACTCATCTCCAGAAAGGAAATGCAGGCAAAAGGCGCCATGACCATTCAGCAGTTCTCTCTGCAGTGCTGGGGGGGAGGAGAGAGAAATGAAATAGCCTTTAAAAAGTCTTTCACCAAGTCCCCTGCTGTGGATTAAGTACACTTTATAGGGCACGCTCACTGCTAACAGCTTATTTTTAGGTTTTGGTGATAGTGAATGGTTCTTGAGCACTAACCAATATGTATAAATAAATAGAAGATGAAACAGATGAAAGTGTTGATGATCTTCTTACTTACTTGGTTGCATTACCTGCAGAGTAAGCACAGTTCTCCTGCAAACAACTGATTTCATTTTAATTCAGTTTTAACTTCAGACTGTATTTGAGGCTTTGGAAGAATGAGAAGTTGAGACAATGAAGTGTCATCAGGTCTATGATTGCACACACTGACCTTTACAAAGCAAAAGCTGGGAACTGCATGTGGCTAGGAAGCTTCTTTCTGCAAATACATTCAGTGCATTTGAACGAGTGCAGTGCAGCAGTCATCATCTGCAGGAGCCTTAGCAGTACACTAATGCCTGGCTGGAGGTCCAGGCTACGACTGTTCTGCCAGGCTGCTGCTGTGCAGTATTTTTCCAAGATCTCTGGCGAGAGCCTGATACCTACTGTTACAGTCTGATGTTTTTGTGCCACCATCTGCTCAGAAGTCTTTTGCCTTAATTTGCTCATTATGAGCTCTTTCACCTGAGAAGGAGTTGGTGTGCCTGACAGCTCGTCTCAAAGCTTATAGAACAAATACTTTCCTTGGGCCTGACCTGCTTCCTCCCATTACAAAGCTGATTTAAAAGCCAGCTGGACTGACACAGGGATGCAGGACTTTGTGTCGTTTCCAAGCCTCCCTAAAAGGCCTCCAGGTGTCCTGGTTAGGTCGCAGCCAGGTAGGTACCTATTTGCCCTTGAGGAAAGAGATGCTTCCTCCTAGGGGAAGAAATTGGAGGCAGCTCTTAGTCTGCTGTCTAGACAAGGGCAGTTCCAGGAATCCGAGCAGTGCAGGAGCCTTCCTTGGGGGCTGCTGTGTGCAAACCAATCCTTCCCTGTCCTGGCAGCAGGCAGGGATTGCTCACTCTCTGGCTCTGATTTGCTCCTGCTGCGGCTGCCTGAGTTGTTAGAGGCACACGGGGGCCGTGGGACAGGACTGCAGCCAGTCTGACCAGGAGATGGTGCTGAGAGGCAGCTGCCAGGCGGGCAGGGTGCCTGGAACCTCTCTGGTGCTGGGATGGCACACGTGGCTCCCAAAGGGCAGTGGGTGACCCGTGGGCTGGGGGCAGACCTGCAGTAACAGCGCTCCCTGCACACGGCAGTGACTTTCCAGGGCAGCTCTGTGCAGGTTCTGCCAGTGTCACCAACGAGCTCTCAGCAGAGGCTTTGGGGGATTTAAATGATTTAACAGTCACTGCTGTGCGTCCTGAGGTTCAGCTCGGTTTACGCACTGTTGCCTGAGGCCCTTGTAGACCTCAGTACAATGTACGTCCTGAGGTTAGGCATGCTAGATCTGATTTCCAAAAAGGTGGCAGGGATTAATTTTATATTGTGCTGTGGATTTTTTTTTTTTCCTCTAGCCACATCCTAATAGGGCCAGTAGTTAAATAGTCAATGACGATGCAAATTCCAATAGCAACAGCAAGTCTGAGTTGGGCTGAACAGGAATAATGTGCTCAGCTCTTTTCTCACTGCCCGGGCTGTCTGCAGACCTTGCACAGTAAATCAGTTGGTCAGCGCTAGAAAGCTGTCAGCAGCCTTAACTACTAGAAAATAAAGGTCTTTGGGGATCTTCTGTCTTTTGGGCTTTGTGGATTTGTTTTTATTTTGGTTATGTTTTGGTTTTATGTTTTTGTCCACTGCAAAGGTGTTGGCTCTGCCAATTCCATGCTTAAACCATGGCATGAAGAGGCCTTGCAGGAGTAAATTGCACCGCTTTGCTTATGCTGTTTTTCATTAGGCCACTGTTGCACGAGGAAAGAGCAGAGGAAGTGGAGCTGAGGAGGAGGAGCACCCTTATGAGCTGTTGCTTACAGCGGAGACTAAAAAGCCAGTGGCAGTGGATAGAAAAACAAAAGGTAAGTGACCATCCCAAAATGCACTGTGCAAAAACACGGAGGGCAGAGCACTTGGAACAATTAAAAGCTGTGGGGTGGGGCGTCTGGACTCTGTATTGCAATTGTTTTGTTTCCTGGTGATCTTCCCTTTTATAATGGAGAGATCTAAACGTTCCTGTGCAAAATGTACACAGAGGAAGAGCAAATCCGCTGTTCTTGACAGCTGAGAGTTTGCAGGGACCCACAGTGGTAACTTAGAACATAAATGAATACTGTGCGCTGTCAGGGCAGAGTTGGAAGGCTGTGCAGTGTTGTTGGGAGTGAGATGAAGCAATGCAAGCACTGAATGAGCCGTGCTCTGCATCCAGCTGAGCTTAGAGACCTGCTGGTGTTGCATGTTTGTATCAGCAGATGATCAGCCTGCCTGTCCTGGTAATAAAAACAACACTCTGCTGTGTATTAAAGCTAAATGGCGATGTAAACTAACACATGATGAAACTAAACATGTGCAGAGCAAGCTCTTCTCTGGATCTGGCTGCAGATCCCCTGTGTGACCAGGTTAGGTACTGAACTTGGCTCTCTTGTCCCAGAGGGACTCCTGTGCTTTGCAGGGATTTGCAAACACCTTGGCTGTCTCTGGGCTTTTGGCTCCCCTTCAACAACAACAAAAGATTTGTTTGAAGCAGAAATATCCCTTCCTTTATTCAAAACTTCTGAGCAGGAATTTGGAAGGATTCAATTTGGACTCTCAACCCGGAACCCATCTCATTTTGAGGATCACGCAGAGTCGCTGTGGTGCCTTTCTGACTCCCTGTAAGAGCTGCAGCATTCTCAGTTCTGCTTTCCCTTGCAGCATGGTAGTGTTCCTTCCTTGAGTCCTGCTGCACTCTTGGCCTGGATGGGGTGGCACAAGAGGTCATTGTTTTCCCACCACTGTCTGCCAAAGCCACTTGCAGCCCGAGGCAAAGTTCGGATGCTTTTCAGGTTGGCACTCTGCAGTCTCAGCGAGGGAATAGTCCCTGGGCAACAGCCATTGAACCAGAATCTTTCAGGAGATCTTTCCAGTGCGCAGTTACTGCTGATTATTCAAGTGTGAGCTGCCTCTTCTCCATTCTGTGGCTACCAATTGCAGCTTAATGTGAGATTCATTGTAACTGTGTTTGTGAGGAACCTAAAGCCCTTTCCACTGTTGTGGTGGGAGGGGGAATCCAAGGAACGCAGGAGAGCTTTCTCTTTTTCTAGGACATGCTCGCTTCCTTAAATACAGGAGAGCTATAACCAGTGTGAGAGGAAGGAGCCTTTGATCTGATGCAGGTGAGGAGCTGCTCTGAAGGGGCCCCTCCAATGTATTTCTCACCTTGTGTACTGCTGAAGCTCAGCAGGGGCATTTCCCACTGCTCTCCTTGTAGTGCTGAATGTGGAGATTATTGTGACCCTCTCATGTCTGTTCTCCAGAGGTAGCAGCTGTTTTCCAAAGCAACTCAGAGCTCCCTGCAGCATGGCTGCACGTGTGGCAGTGTCTGTGCTCTGCAGGAGCTGCAGATCTTTGCCAGGACCCCATGTCATCTTTCACCTGCTTTGGGTTTCATGACCCCAGTAGGAAATGAAGCAGCTGTTTGGTAGTTACTCCCTTTTTTTTTTCTTTTTTCTCCTTTCCACCCCCCCTCTGTATTGTTCCTGCCTCACAGCAGTCACAGGTAGTTTCTTTCTGCACAGGATGTTTCCTAACTGCTCTGGAAGAGCGGATCAGCTTTGAAATCTCCTGCCTTACACAAAAGCAAATGTTCAGCTCTCGCAGTAGCTGAGGTCAGATGCTAGGAGGACATGGGGAAGCAGATGTAGCTGAGTCTGAAACGTGAGTATGTGCTGATGTGGGGAGAGAGGACGTTTGGGAAGTAGTGGAGTCTTTTTGGCAGAAGTTAAGCGAGGGCTGAGCAAGGAACCAAGGACCAAATTGAGGTGTTGGAGAATTTTTCCACCTCTGGATCAGAGGGGTCCTGGAGCATCAAAGGCAGCAGCTCAGCTCCAGGACAAAGAGCAGACTGAGACATGGCTTGGAATTGCTGCTTGGCCCTCGATCTGAGAGGCTGTGCTTCCAGATGTTGCTTGGTGACTTCTGGAGGAGCCTTTGGTCAGAAGAGAAGGACTCTGATGTGCTCTTCAGGGCAGCTGCCAGGCAGAGTGGCAAGCACGCTGTTTTTAATGGTGTCTTTCATATGTGATAGCTGCCTTTGTTCCCCTTGCTGCAAGTTGTCTTGTGTCCAGTGACCAGATGAATGTGGCATTATCTGCCCTGCTCTGGTGGCCTTTTGTGTATGTTGCAGCAGTTTGCTGTCACATGCTGGAGCACTAGGAAAAGTTGGCTGATTGTTTCGGGCAGAGTCTCAGAAGCGGTTTGAGCCAAATGCTTTCCCATCTCTTTGGTAAGGAAACTACGTGCAGTCTCACGCATGAAGTCAGGGCTGTCAGACCTTGTAACAGGACTTGAAAATAAGCCAAGAGTGGTGAAGTGTGCATGGACTGATGGGGAGGAGACTGTACAACTCCTGCTGTGTTTAGGGAGAGACTGAAGGAGGATGAATGCAGAAAACACCTCTGAGTGTGGATGTCTGTCTTGCTTCTGAGGAGGGCCATCGGCCAGTGCTGTCAGCAGCCTCAGGTAGGACTGAATGGCTCTTCATGGTGGTTATCAGCTGTTGGTGCTTGTTGAGCTCCTGCTGGCGTGCTGCCATAGCAAGCCCAGCTTGAGGTCCTCAGCTCACCCTTCCTCCTGCTGGAGCTTTCCTCAGTGGTTGCGCTGGTTCAGCCAGAAGTGTTGCTGTTCTCTAGACCAGATGTCTGAACTGACCCAATCACAAAAGGACAAAATGTGCTTTGGGGGGATTTTTAATGTGAGGTGGGCAGAACGTGTGGGCACACAGGGCTGGTACAAACCAGGGTTGGAAGGAATGCAAGCTTCTTGGTTTGCTCTGAGATGAATGGTAACGTAGGACCAAAGCCTGACTGCTCTGCTCTGGTTTTGTCGTCACTGCAGGACAGATCCTGTCTCCATGTCTTTGATCCAAGCCTGAGTTTCTGTAGTCACAATGTATTGAGAAACCTCCATGCAGGGTAACACAAGGACAGCATTCCTTCCCTTCACTTTCTTGAAGGGCAGTGGGGGAGGGAGTGCACACGACCACAAGTTTAGGTGGCTTTTGGAGGATAAATTTTGTCTCAAACAACTGAGGTGATGGAGATACATTTCTGATTTTCACATGCAGTACCTCGCTATGTAAATGAACCTTTGTGTTTCTATTTTACTGCAGTTGAAGGTTATTTTTGCACCTCTAAAGTAGTACTGTAAAGGCCAGCTTTCCTCTCTGCTGCAGCCTTTTATGCCACAGGAGCTGGATTTGCATGCTCACCACCTGACAAATTACATGATGTAGCACAGAGAGCCTTTTGTAGGTGAAGATTAGAGACTGGAATATGTCCTTGCTAAATTCTAAGGTTGGGAAGCTTGAGCAGAGAGCGGCTGCAATAACAGCTTGATTCTCCTAATCCAGGGGCATGAAACAAACACTCCTGATGATATCTAGGGAAACAAACTTGCTGGAGGCAATGTGGCTGCAGCTTGGTGTTAGGGAAGTGCTTCATATCTGGGATCATCAAGCTGCTGGCAGGAGAGCATGTAATTGAATCCTTCCTGGGAAGCAGACAGTCTGTGCCTGGAAATGCGCTCTGTGCAGTGGAAGCAAACCCTTCTGTGGGTGAATCCTGCAGCAGGAGCTGGCTGAGGAACTCAGCTGTGCTTGGGTGTGAAACCAGCCAAGGGACTTGAGCTCAAATCCGTATTTAAGAATGACTCCCTTTTTGTGAGTGAAAAGGTGCAACTGGATGGGGATGCTTTCAAAGGTAGATAAAAATTCCTAAATCCCATGGAGTACCACAGATGGATGGACCTGGACTCTCTCTGCTTTCCTAGCCCTTAGGTATTATTTTCTCCTTGCCCTGTTTCAATGTGTACTTTAAAAGGGAATACTGCTCATCTTTTTGCCATGATCATTGGCTGAACTGCATAAGCAACTTACCCAAAAAATGTACACGGCCTGAAAAGGCCTGTGGTCACTGGCCAGCACTGGCTCTGGCCTCTCCTCCCACCCTGGGGCATCTTGAGTTGAAACCCCAAAAAGTGAAGCCTGGGGAGAGCCCCCTGTGCACCTCAATGGTAAAAAGGAGTGAGGCCACTCCTCCCATCCTACGTGTGTTCTTCTGCCTGCAGCTTTTGGGGCAGCCTTACAGGCTCTGAGATGTCTCTTTCAAGACGTTCCTCATCTTCTCTGCGAGTGCTGTTCCCTTTGCTCCATCCCTTCCTTCCCTGGCAGCTCTCTTGTATTTCAGAGTCTGTCTCCATCGTCTGGAGGATGAATGGGCGGCTGTGATTTCTGTGCAACAGGAGCCCCTTTGTGAGCTCTGGAGCACTTTGTTCTGGCTGCACCCAGCACGTGGCACAAACTTCTCCAAGCTGCCTCACTGCATTCAGCAGGAATGGCAGCGGAGGTTAAGCTGGGACACGGGAGAGGTGAGGAGAAGAGGGAGGGCTGTTGAATTGGTAAAGGATCCAATTCCTTCCAGTCCATTAGAGGGTAATGCGCCTGTGTCCAGTCCCTCTTTCAGGATCTGCAACTTTCTTACACTGGTCTCTGCTACGTATACAGCATGTCCCATCCATTCTGAGCTTTCTCTCCAGCATTACAACCTCAGATCTTTGTGCACACCAACCGAATACAGCCTGGCCTTCACTTCTTCCCAGCGCTCCCAGCCCACGCTGGGCGCAGTGCAGGTGAGGCTTTGCAGTGACGCCTGCCCTCAGTGGCTGCAGCCACAGAACATGTGGGATATGTACCCATGCAGGATGATCAACAACTACTTCATTGTCCTGGAATCCCAAACTCATAGGATCCGGAACAAAATCAGCCCCAGCATCACTTAACGCTGGCGAGCAGCGAGGTCTGCCAGCGTCCTGCCCTGGCTGTTAACCTCTGCTCAGGCTTTTGCTGTTCCTGACTCAGCTGCCAACCCAGCAAGCTGCTTTCTGCATTTCTGTGGAGTAAACAGATGCCTGTGAGGACTGGCTGGTGCTCACAGGGCGCGTGAGACCCCGGGATCTGCATGGCGTGCGAGGATGAATGGCTGATTCAGGCCCTTCCTGCCTCATTTCTGGTGTGGGGATGCACCACAAAACCAGATGTGCTTGGAAATGACCTGGTCAAGCTTAGTGCAAAAAGGATGCTGGGGGGAAGGAGCTTAATTTCACTGTTGTTGCTAATAGCTGCTGCTTGTTAAAGAGAAGCAAAACTGATCAGTTCAGTTCGCCTCGCTCAGTGAGATGAGCGTTCCTTCACCAGCTCCTGAGAGCAGCAAACCAAGGAGTTTCCTCTTCATGTCCAGATACCCTCCTTGTATTTCAGAGCCACGTTACGGAGGTGCTTTGTTTTATTGCTCTGCTGCAGTGTGCTTTTAGTTGTTCTCCCACCCAAGTGTTTGTGGCAGTAAATGGAAGTGGTTAAAATCTGCAGGCCACCACAAGCAGGTGGTGGGGATCCCAGGACCTGCGAGCTGTGTTTCCTTGCTTTTCTAACCTTTGCTTGTGCAGCTCAGATGCATGTGTACAACCTGGCTGAGGTGAGTATGTGTGTTGGTGCACACACCTGGCAATTGGGACCGGTCAATTATTGATGATTTACCTGATATTGGGGATGTTAGCACAGCAGTAACCAAGTAACAGCGCCGCATTTCTGGGACAGCCACTTGTGCACACAGCTTTCTGCATTAGCATTCAGTGCTCAGCTTGCAGCAGAGAGCCTTTTTGATGGAGCTTTTTATTGCATAAACTGTTTATTTCTCTCCCCTGAGCAAGGAGGAGAGGTTAAACTCGGAAACCACGAGGGAGGAAGGCATTGTTTTTTTTGGGGAGCAGCTTTTGGAACTTGCAGGTTGTTTGCAGTCCAGAAGTTTTTCCCTGCAGCTGGTGCCAAGAGCAGGGAGCACCGCTCTAAATAACACTTTGGCCTTTATGGAAATGTATCAGATGTTCCAGGAGCTCCGTCTCTGCTTCTCCTACCTCGCTCGCTCTCTCTGCAGGATATACTTAGCACTTGTCTTAGCCTTATATAGCAAGGCCTGATAGTTAGTGTTAACAGGAATAAAACAACACGGAGAGCTGCCAGATTGCATAAATCAGGCCAGTGTTTGGAATTTCATAAATGCCACGACTTTGGGTACAAGTTGAGTACGCGGAACAATACGGAACTGTTCTCTCTTTATCTCTCCCTCCCTCGCTGAGGGAGGGCAGAGGGAGAGCTGGAATTTCGCAGCTTCTTCCATCTTTTAAACTTTTTTTTTCTTCCTTTGCTTTCATCCCCCTGAAGACCACAGGAGGAGCAGCGGTGGCCGCAGCCAGGACTCTGCAGACAGCCAGGACATCCAGGTTCCGGAGCAGTTCTCGGGGCTGCTTCACGGTTCTTCCCCCATCTGTGAAATAAGCGAGGACCCTTTCAGGCTCGTTCCCTCCGCGGAGAAAGGAGGCGTGGAAGCAGCGAGCCACCCACCTGCTATGCAGCTGGAGGATGCTGATTTACCTGCCCCTGCATCAGCACCGACCGGCTCTCCAGAACACAACCAGAAAGCAATCTACGCAACCGTCCAACACGCTCACGTCAACCGGGCGGATCCTGAAACTGTAGGCACGCCCCACGTGCTCCAGCACCCCGGCGCTGCCGAGGACGAGGGGGACAGAGGTGGTGCTGTGGGCAGAGCCCACCCGGGGAGCAAACCCAAAGCCGAGCTCAAGCTCAGCCGCAGCTTGTCCAAATCAGACTCCGACCTCCTGACCTGCTCCCCAACGGAGGACGATGCCATGGGGAGCCGGAGCGAATCGCTCTCCAACTGCAGCACTGGGAAGAAGAGGTTGGAGAAGTCGCCGTCCTTTGCTTCGGAGTGGGATGAGGTGAGTTTGAGTTTGCTGCTGTGCCAGGGATGAAACTGTGCAGCGTGAGCTCCTCTCTGCTGCAGGTCTTCAGAGAGGCTCGTGGGTGGTTCGCGTTATTTTGACTAATTCGCATCTCAGCCAGAAGGAAATGCTGAGTTACAAGTGGTTAAAGCTCTCTTTTGGCATTTAACACCTTAATTGGAGTGCGGAGAAACAGAACTGCAAGGGGTTGGGGGCTTTTCAAAGGTTTTGTTCTTTTAAGTTACTTAAATGCAGGGCAAGCCAGATAAGTTTAGCACCCCCAAAATGGGGGAGTATTGATAACAGTGATCCTCATGGATTCATGCTGACTCCCTCTTCCCAATTTTTCGCCTTCAGACCCCCAGAATTCAGAGCAGAGGTTTTGTGCCTGGGTCCCCGCTGCTGGGGGTGAGCTGTGTCCTGGGCTCACGGAGCTGGAGAGCAGAGTAATTGAGCTGTTTTATGTATATGATAGCTCCTACTTCACATGGTTATCTTGGAGGCTTGTTAGAAGGCACTTTATTGTAGTCCGGGAGGCCTGTGGATAGTTAAATATTTCATGCTCAGAAAGTTGGCCCTGGTGAACCACTCGGGCGAGATTAAGTGTCCCTCTGAAATCCAGCACCGCAGCATTACTGAAACATTCTTTGGAGATGATTCTGTGCTGGTGGAGCGGCGGCGCTGCGGAGGAGATAAGCTCACATGAACCACTCTTTGTACACTGAAGGGAAATAGATGGCCCCGGCGTGTGCTGGGGGTCAGGGCTGTGTGTGCCGGGCTCGTGGCAGAGGGGAACGGCTGCCCCATGGGATGGCTGTGCCTCCTGCCTGCCCCTCGTGTGCTTCAGCTGCCTCTGTGACCCCAGCCCAGGGATAAAATCACATTTGGTGGAAGACGGAGGTATTCCACAGGGATAGAAGTGAAGTGGGAATCGTTCCTTGGCGCTCCCATCCTTCAGTCCGCGTGCTTTCTCCCTGATGCGTCTCCAAATACATATTTTCCTCTGCAGGTGTTTTGGTTGCGGAGGCTTTGCTGCTAATTAGCTGGGTTAGTTGCAGTGCAGCTGCTAGCGAAAGGTTTTGTAACGGAAGGCACATCTGAAAGGAGCGGAGAGCTTTCCCTGTGCCTTTCGTGCCTCACCAAACTGTTTACAGCAAATGTTGAAAGGGAAAGGAGCCTCTGGCTTTGCAGAGTTGCACAGCTTTACTGGTAGCAGAGGTCAGAGCTCAGCATGCCTGTGCTTCCGCTGCTTGGAGAAGGGAGCCTGCAAATCTGCTTCCCTGCTTGTAAACAGAAAGCGTGGCTCCCAGCCCGTGCTGCCCAATGAGCCACAGGAGGGAAATCTGCTTTTCCTCTGCGCCGTGTTTAGGTGAGGAAATTTAGAAAGAATGTGAAAAATTCCCATCTGTCTGCAGTGGAGCGGGTCGAATGTGAAAATATTGGTACGATCAAAACCTGATGGTTTTACATGTTTTCCCACTTTCTGAGGTAATTTGAACACCTCGTGGAGTTGCTCTGTAGCAGAACCCCGTGGCTGGATTTGCCTCGGGCTCTCCTAGCTATCACAGACCTCCCCATTGATTCCAGACAAGTCTCCCTCCTCTCTGCCTCAGTTTCCCCATCTGTGAGATGTGAAGAATATCATGGTTCCCACTGGAAAACTCTCTGCAAAGCTAAACATAGTGAGACAAGCCGGCAGCTGGCGATTCATTGCCTTTCGCTGGCTTTGCTCCTTAAGACTCCGCACAGAAGTGTGCAGGGTCTGTCTGCCTCCTGGTGCACGTGCAGCTCTGTGATGCTGTCAGCAGGAGGGGCACGCTTTGTGAAGCAGAGCAGTTTTTTGCATAGCATGAAATGGAGCTGCTGCTGGTTGGTGATTCGTGCGGCCAGTCCACTTCTTGCTGTAGAATATCACAAGGCTCCTGTGGTTGGTGGTGAGAAATGCTGGGTTTGCACCTGCAGGGAACATGTGGGTTGTTTTGGTTTTTTTTTGCAGTGATTTGTATGTGCAGAAGGGGGCTGATCCGGCCGGTCATAATGGTGACAATAAGATTTAAACATTAGCAGAAGTGATGTTGCTGGAGATTTAATTAGTTCCCTGAATGGAGGTAATGCAGCTGCCCTGAGTCCAACGTGACTCTCAGCCTCGGAATTTCCCCAGCTGACAAAACCTCACTGAGGCACTGCCTCTGTGCTGGGGGGAACAATGGCAGATTTATAGGCGTTATTCTGTTCCTTTTAATAGCCTTTATGCAGGCAGCCGAGGAGGAAAGTGATCCGTGTGCAGCTGCAGCGGCACGGAAGGGCTTTGCCCACAGCCAGCAGTAGGTGTGTCTGCTCGGGGCACGGGGGAGAGGGGGGGGACCGGGTTGTGTCTGTGCATGGATGGATCTGTAAGCAGAGCCAGCATTGCTCTGGGCCGTGGGTGAGCGTGCACAGGGAGATCTGTGCTGGGACAGAAGGGTCACGGCCCTGCAGCCGCCCGCTGCCAATGCCCTTTGTTGGAAGTGGGAGGTGGTGCAGCTTTGCCAGAAGGGTGGGCTGGGGAAGGAGTGATTCACTTGGCAGCGTTCAGCCCCGCTCCCTGTTGAGCAGCTCTGAGGGCCTGGCCCAGCTGCGTGCTGCAGAGGGACGCACACCGTGGCCCCCAGATGCTGTAAGCAAGCAGAGAGATAAGCAAAGCAAACAGCACTGTATTGCCCCGGGAGCAGAGGAGGACTGAAGGAGGTGAGGATCAAAACTTGCTCCTGCTGCTGCCTGGGAAGTGAGGGCAGGGAGAGGAGCCACGTGTGCAGCAGAGCACTGCCCTCAGAGGGCTGAAGTGGTGAATTTGTTTGGTGTAAGTGGCTCATGAATATTGAGCAGCCGCGAGAGGAGCGCACAGCCGGCATCGCTCACCATGAATTTTGCATAGGAGGATAAACTGTTTGTGTTCCTGAAGGAGTGGGGCTCAGCCCTGCTGCCAGCCTGCTCTGTGCATCCATCCGGGTCCCTTTGCAGGTGCTGCTGCAGGTGAGCACACCTGGCAGGGCTCGGGCCCAGATGTGCTGAGCTGCTTTCCCCCTGAGCATCACGAGCCTCCCTGGATGAAAGGCAGGTATGAACCTCTGTTAGCAGTTCAGTGAAGTCTGGGGGATGGACAACAGCCGTGCTTTGTTCCGGGCCCATAAGACCTGATGGCTTTTGGCCAGGTTGAGGCGTTGAACCATTCCTTTTCTCCTGCTGCAGTTCTGAATCCTCCTATTCCTCGAGCAGCCGAGCTTGGCTGTGCTGGAGGAGAGATCCCAACCCCACAGCTCCTCAGCAAACTGCTCTGCTCCTTGGGGAAGCGGCTCCTGACAGTGAGAGCAATTAGTGCTGCTACAGCGGCCCCAGGGGGCAGCGATGGCTGGAGAGGAGCTGGGCTGTGCTCCCCACCCCCTGTTGTGCTGTCAGCTTCCTAAAAGCAATGTTTCAGGTATCTGGGAGATGCGTCCCACGCAGCGTTGCTTTTGCAGGACGATTGACAGCCACTGAACGCGCATAGCAGATAAATTGGGCTCTGTTTGTCCAGGAGATCAGCTGAGCTGACCTGTCTGATGCACAGATAGTGCTGTGAGGCTGGAGGTGGATGGAACTGGAGGTGTTGGTGAGACAAATGGTTTGGGAAGCCTTTTTGGGGGCAGAGCACAGGGGTGCTGCTGAGGAGCTGCAGACCTGGATCCCCACGGCCACACAGGGCCTCTTCCAGCCACCAAGTGAGCAGCTCCACTGCTGAATTTGCAGTGAACGGCTCAGAGGGTTCCAGCATCAGCTTCACAAAGTGAAGTGGCTGCTGTGTCTGCAGCT